CCACATGGAGAGCTAAGAGGAAAAAATGTATTAATAACATATAATGAAATTGAAGAGACTGCTAAACATGTTAATCTATCTGTTGAAGAAACTAAGACGTATTTGAAAGAAGCATGTTCCATCTTATATAAAGCTAGATCTGCAAGGCCACGACCTCATTTAGACGATAAAATCATTACAGCGTGGAATGGTAAAAAGTTATTTTACATACTTTTTATATTTATTACTACTATTTTACTTACATCTTTTATTTTATATACACTAGCACATATAAAATTTTAATTTTGATCATTAAGTTAATAACCAACCCGGATTTAGGTCTTATGATAAGTGGTTTAGCTTTTGGAGGAGCGGCAATAAATAATAAACGATACATTGAGCGCGCGGTAGATGCCGCAAAATTTATTAAGCAATATCTTTTCGATGAAACTAAGAATATTTTACTTCATAGTTGTTATCGTGACGAGAAAAACGCAATTACGCAAATGTGAGTATATTATTATTATTGAATTGTACAATGTACATTTTAATTTATTTTTAGGAGTACACCTATATCTGGATTTTTAGACGACTATGCGTTTGTTATAAAAGGATTGTTAGATTTATACGAATCTGATTTGAACGACGAATGGCTGGAATTTGCCGAAAAATTGCAGGATCTCCAAAATCAATATTTTTGGGATGAAAAAAGTGGAGGATATTTTTCAACAACATCGAGCGATTCAAGTGTAATTCTCAGGCTCAAAGAAGGTATGTATTTAAGTATTTTCAAGATATTTGTCAATTAAAGTTTTCATGGTAAAGCTTTATATAATACGTGTAACAGTTATAGTTGCAACTAGTTCAACTACAAAGAAATCAACATTTTGTAATAAAGTTGAGCATAACTGAGATATTTATAGTTGTTCAATGTTTCATTGCATCCAGCTATTAAGTTCAGGCAGCTGTGCTTACGACTTTAGTATTAGATTGTAATGTGAATGAAAGAGAAAGATCGGATATGTATTTTAAGAATCTCGTGCACAGCTTATGACGGAGCGGAACCATCCGGTAACTCGATTGCTGGCGAAAATTTACTGAGGTTGGCAGATTACTTTGATCGTAGCGAGTTCAAGGATAAAGCTGTTCGTCTTTTCGGAGCATTCAGACATTTGCTGATGCAACGACCCATTGCGGTTCCACAATTAACATCAGCACTTGTACGCTACCATGATGATGCAACTCAGGTATAGACAAACTGATATGCATCTAGTGCATATATATTCAATTCTCAGAAGTTTGACAAGCTTGTGTTTTAGATTTATGTGGTTGGGAAACGAGGTGCCAAGGACACCGATGATTTACTTCAAGTTATATATAAACGTTTGATACCCAACAGGATTCTCCTTTTAATTGATCCCGATGAAACGGGTGGCATGTTATTACGTAAAAACGAACATCTCAGAAATTTGAAACCCGTGGATAATCGAGCAACAGCTTATGTATGCAAGCATCGCACATGTTCTTTGCCCGTCACGACTTCCGAACAATTAATAACATTGATAGGTGAACTGTAATAATTAAAATTTTATTTAAATAAGAATCTATTAATTAGTCGTTGGGTTCAACAAGAAATGAAAGATTTTTCAGTCCAACAAAGCAAGTAGATTGTTTAATAGTAAAATTGGAAAAAGAGTAAAATAATAAGATTTAACGAATCTCAACATTGTATTGTATCATAATCTGCAGCAATATCAGTAGAATTTGTGTATTATTGAGACTAATAATACTTGTTGAATATACTTGTACATACGAATATGTTTTTGTTTTAATAAAGTATATAAAAACTTTCGTCCATGATTATACCCCAATAACTTGATATAATAATTAAAAAGCAACTATAATTTTATTACAAACGGAGACAATACCTGTTTTTGTATATCGGTTCTTGATCATTGGTGAACTTTTATTAGGTGAACGATACATAATACGGTGCCTGCCTGTGGGAAATCTCGTGTTGAATTCCAACCAAAAATAGATACGACATATAAACCACTGGAGGAAGGGAGAGATTGAAAGGCGAGTGAAGTTAAAACGAAACATTAGCTGAAACAAGAAGGACTAGATATTCGGTATCAACAGATCTGTACATCATAGTCACATCATCCCTTGATAGTGCACAAACGAATAATTGAAAAAAAAAAAAAAAAAAAA